AATTAATGAATGGACATAAAATAATCAGCATATGAATCCCTTCTGAGAATAAATAATTGCTAGTTGTAAGTAGACAAGTATTTGATGCCGTCACATTTCCGTCAGTACTCAAAATGTAACGAGGTTTGTTACCCCGCCTTGTTTAGAAGAGACGTCCTTTTTTAACTACAGACATGACACAACAGAAGACAAAATCCCACACAACTGCGTAGCCAATAGTTTTGCACTTCATTACTCATTCAAGGTCCTCCACATTCATCCGAGAACATCTTGTTGCTCACTTAGTGGGAAGTGTCCATTTATATCCTGCAGGTAAATCTTAACCCCAGGGATAATCCAAGAACAGAGAGAGCAGGAGACTGCTGGGAGGAGGAGAGGGTTGGGGGGAGGTCAACAGAGAGAGCCAGGGTGAATGAAAGAGACCCGATCACAGATAGTGAAGTTAATGAATGATACATTCATAATGCAATCTGATCCGTCTGTGACCAGGCTGCGGAGCTGAGGGCAGTCATTCTCCACCTGAACAGGCAAGCAATTATTAGACCTGCAAGAACTGAAATCCAATATTCACACACACACACACACGCACACACACACACGTGAAAATTAGATATGTATGTTTCATCTCAGCTGTGATAAGATATTAAAATCCATCTCAGACTAGACAGCTCCAGCCTAGGACAGAGTGGAACAACCCGAGAGGCTGCAGCTCAAGTCAAAGCTGAATGTAATTTGGATTTCTGGCTACACCACACACACAGACTCGTGATTTTGAGTAGGCCTATTGTGTCACAACCACTCTCTTTCTTCACTGCTATTTAAGTGAGTAATTGACGCATGAAAATGTACAGTCAAACCAAAACGGCAGAGCCTTGCAAGCCCACAGGTGTAACCTTGTGTGTGTCATTAGCATGCAGTTAAGTACAGTACAGGTTGACAAAAAGTGACATGGTGGCAAACATTCTACTTACACTAGTAAGATCCAACAGCATTTCAAAGACTCAACTCTAGGCCATCATCTACCTCTGGTATCCACTCAAACACAATTTCTCCAATTAAACAATTTCTGTTCTCAACGTAAAGTTCAGCTGCCTATAACTAGTGTTGTACAACTAGTCTACCTACAACTGCCTACAACTAGTGTTATCACAACCACTTTCTTTCTTCACTGCTATTTAACTGCCTACAACTAGTGTTGTAGGCAGAAAGCTTGTTCAGCATGTGTTATAAAAACAGGTTAAAGGTTAAAATGTCATCACTCTCACATGTCTGGCAGTATTGAACTCAGAGGCTGCTGATTTCTCACTTCTTTTTTTTTTTTCCACAAAGTCTATAAACGATGACCTGCAGCTCCACCACATACTTACAGAATATCTCAAGTCGTCTTTACTGTCCCTCCGCAATCACATGTCTTATCAGAAGTACTTATCAAAACCATCGAGCGCTGCTTCGGCACGGCATAGCTTTGGGGGCACCCCGCGCTCACGTTACAAGTATTGTGACGAGCGCAGCTCAGTACAGCATGCTTCAGTGGCTCATTGAATATCATACTGCAACTCTATCTCCTGTGCTCTTTAGTGTAAGGTCAGAGCTGGTCTTGGAGTCTGGGGAAACTAACATCTTCAGCAAGAAGCTTTGTTCTGTTAGGAAAACGGGAATCCTGGGCCACCAGTAAAAGAAGGTTTTAGCAATTTAAAACTGAAACTAAGTGACAAAGTATTGATATATTGAAGATGAAAGTAAAAATAAAACTCTACAACAACTAAAAGTGAAAGTAATCTTGCCTGGTTTTTAAATCTTACCAACTTAAATTAAAATAAAATAAATGAAAATGTGACTGTTTGGCAGCAATGAATGTTATGTCTTAACACTTTTCAATCAACAAGGACTGTGTTTGTATGATGCCAATAATATTCAGTTTAGAGCAGAAACAAGTAGTCAATTGACACAAAATTAATTGGCAACTATATTGATAATCAATTTAGTGTTTTCTTTAAGGAAAAAGGCTCAACATATCTGCCTCTCAAATGTGAGGATTTACTGCTTTTCTGTGTCATATGTGTCACATATATTTTCTGTGTTGAATATATTTGGGTTTTGGACTGTTGGTCGGACAAAACATGCAATTGCCTTGGACTATGTGACACTGAGATGACAATTTTATGTGTTTATGAAACATTTGGTATACTAAATAACTCATTAATCTGCAGGTTAATCGATAACGACAACAATCATTCGTTACAGTCCTGAGCCAGTTTGGCAGCTTCCTCCACAAGAGAGCAAACATAAAGACAGTTTCAGATCAAACTCTTAAAACACAGACCAAAAATAGCCACCACTTCCTCTAACACCAAGTAATGTTTGTGTTTGTGTTTATTACAGCACCGCATTAATAACCACCCCTGTCTGTCATTTCAATCAACATCAGTGGAATCTGAATATTTGGTGCTTCCACACAGCTGGGACTCAAATATCGTTACAAGTGACGTGGTTTTGTTTGACCAGAAAAACACCAGCTGCACTATGAGCTTGAAACACGTATTTAAAAAACACTCTCCTTGATGATGTCTTAAACCACGTCTTGACTTCTGTAAATATTCCACCCATCCATCCTGCTTTTCAGAAACCTGAGGCAGCCACTTCATCATAATGCAGCACACATGAGCTCCCATTGTCAGCCGGAGAGCTTCATGCGTCAAGGCGCTGCAGAAAACCACAATCATGACAGAGAAGTCATTATGAGGGAGCGAATGAGAACAAGATAAAAAAAAGTATCACTGACAACAACTGCAAGAAGGCAGGCAGAACTGCACAACAGACTCCGGATTGGACAAATACACACACACACTCAGAAATTGTCACCGATTGCACGAGGAGGGTGCTGTTTACTTTGCACTGGATATCTAAATATGCCTCTCTCTGAAACAGCCTGTTGAAAACACAAAAGGCTACAGAGATGGATGTGTCAATCTGTGTGATGACTAAAAGACTCCCACTCCTCTCTGCCAGTGATATCTGCTGCACACAGGATGTGTGAAATACAGCTTTCTATCCAAGGAATCATCTGTGTGACACGCCACAGTCTCTGTCCTACCGTGTCATTCTTTGTCTCCACATTTAAAGGTCCTTCCCTCTCCATTTTCATCTTCCACCCATCCTTGCTTTCTCCCAATCACTCTCCCACTCTGCTTCCTCTAAAAAGGTCTAATTCAATTCAAAAGCACACAGACTGCTGCCCAGACAAGCATAACTACAGAGGATGCTGCCAGCACAGTCAGTCTGGCCCAAAGCAAGCCCACAATAAAGCAACGAAAATAGAACATCTGTTCAAATATAGCACACATTTGTAAGAGTTCAGCATCTTGAAAATGTTTGGAGAGATGCTTTTGACACCAAGGGGGCTATTATCTCAATTCCACCCTCACGTCAGCACCTCAACAGGTCTTTAAATTGTCTTGCTATGTTGTGTTGGCTGCCCTGAGATGGTTGAAATTTCCTATAACCACTTGGAAGCCACAGAGCTTCAAAGACAGCAAAAACTAGATGTAATTTCAGAGTCTTTCTCTGTGTGAGTGAACGTCTTTCCTCTCATTTCCTGCATCAAATGTTTCTTATGATCTTAACAACTCAACTTAAGCTGTTGCATTTATTTTACAATCAAAGTGGGTATCCTGTTGATGAACTAATCAAATCATCGACTAATTGCTTCATCACTACCTGTACGTATTGTATGTAAATGAAATATCTGTATTTGGGACTGTGCTGAGATAAAACCAGCAGATTGAATGCCTCACCTTAGGCTCAGGGAAACTGCGATGGACGACTTAGCTAAAATAAATTAACATCAGAATGACTGGAGATAATTAAATATGCTCTAGTTAAAACATGTCGCATTAAATATGTTCTGTAGTTGTGCATGCAATTTGAAGACTTCAACGTGGGCTCAAGGATACTGTTAGTTACAGCCCTAAAAACAAGGAGAAGCTACAAATCGTCACATTTAAAGGGCTGGAACGTGCAAATGTTTGACATTTTTGCTCAATACATTAATTAAATCATTAATAGATTATCAAAATCATTTGTCAACTGTTTGATCTTTTCAACATTGATTTATTTAACCGCTTTCCTCCTTTTTGAGAACTAATGCGAAGATTTTCCCCTAGATATATATACCACTGATGCTGTATGCGGTACTAGCTCTTACTAGTATTTATTGTCGTTTGTAGATCTCTTATTTTCCTGATGCTTTTAGTCCCTCAAATGTAAGTAGCTTTGGATAAAAGCATCTGCCAAATGAGTAAATGTAAATGTATTGAACTGAAGCTCCCAGGATTGTCAGTTCATTAAAGTGAAAACACATCTCACTGCTACTACACTGTACACTGACTACATAATGAGGGGTAATATTACAAACTCTACCAAAGCCATCCCTTCCCCTTCACAGTAAAACTAGCATTTCCACTTCACTTGTCAGGGTAAGGCTGCACCAGTCCTATAGCTCCTCTCTCTTGCTTTAATCCCCTGACTGGCTGTATTTGCTGAAATGAGATACCCTGCCTCACTCAGCCTTGTGTGGTGGTGGTGGCAGGATTCCCTTTTCACTTCCTGTCCTCACTCATGCTACAAATAAATGCGAAGAGTGTAAAGACAACAAGCAAGCTCCTATCCGGCTCCTCTGAGGGGCTCATGTGGGACCGAAGAAGGAGCCACATCCGATTAAGTTCGGCAAAGCTTTATCTGCTGCCACTAGCATCGAGTAACGTGAATGCTGCTGCGCTGCAAAGCTATAGGAGAAAAGAGTGTTTCCTGTTATATTATACAGACAAATATGAGTGTTAGTAAAAGTTTCTAGCTGCAAGGCAACCGCTTCAACCTGAAAACGCATCTCACCTGAGCTGGAAGCAACAACTAAAAAGCAAAAAAAATAATTTAAAAAAGTATCAGGAAGCCGACAGACTGCAAGAGAGGGAGGGGCGGACACAACCCTAGCGACAACTTACCTCGCTTTTAAGTTTATGTGGAGGTCCTGTTAAAAGTCTCTCTAATAGTCCATTACCTCGCGGCACCGGTGCTGACAATACAAAGTAACAGAGACAACAGCAGCGAGGCAACAGGTCGCAGGAGCTTGACTGTCCCGGCTGCTCTCAGTCCAAACTCTAGCAGTGTTTCTCCCGAGCAGCTGCACAGACTCTGCTCTCCCCGTGACGTCAAGACCGCCCGGCACGTGGTGCGGCTGCAGTGGCCAATGGGAAGCCGCGTTGTTCTGGCAACAGGCACCCGGCACCTGGACGGCGATTAGCTTGTGAGGATTTACACAGACGTTAGCGGTTTTCAGACTCATGAAAACATGGTTTTAATATCAATATAAGTACTAGTAGATCTAAATGGCATTGTAGTGAATGTGGCGTGGTTAATAATACTTTTCAAACATCTGAAGATGAAGAAAATGTAATAGTAAAGACAGCCGCACCACCACTGCAGAAAAGCTTTTCCCCTACAAGCTATCAGACTTTTAAACTCAAATTTATCCTCAGCACTGCTCCATTGATTAGTTTATTTATGGTTACCATTTTATGATTGCTATTGTATTACTGTATATTGTCTGCCACGTAGCAGAAGGGAGTTTCAAACTTAATTTCACTTTGCAAGCTGTTGTAATGTGACAAATAAACCTTCCTTCTACCTTCTATAAAATACACTATATATAGTTTTGCTATTTGTGTTTTGTTCTTGTGTAGTTTTTTTCTCTGTATTAATCTCTTTTTTGATTTCTGGTTTAAGCGTAGATCTCCTAATTTCTACATTTCCTTTGCTCTGTCTTCTCAGAAGTTTATCGGGTTAGAGTTTGTAACATTTCTTGCTTATAAGACAAAATGATATAAAACCCCTTAGCAGCATTTCAGATATTTCAAAAACTTAAAATAGAGGTTTAGCTGTTTGTACCTTATACCTGCCCACATTCTTGTCTCTAATAATGCATTTCATGCAAATGCATTTTCCAAACATAGTTTTGCATGCATCATGTGTGTCTGATCAGCCGTGCTGTTTCTCCCCTAATGAAGGATATGATCAACCTAGTCCTTTGCGGACTTCATTTTAAATGCTTTACTTTATTTGCATTGCATTGCCATTACCTCCAGTTGATATGCTTTGTTGAAGTAACAACATAATAAGCTTACTTATTTCTGAGTATTGCATGATGATGATGAGAAAGATTATGGTGATGATAACAACCATGCATTTGCTGTGGCTTGGTACAGCTGTTCCCATGCAGGCACATTGGGAGCCATGCTTTGCCTAAGATGATTAGTGGAAGTCAAAGCCACAGGACTTATTCAGACGGTGTTCCAGGGAGCACTTTCTTTATGGCCTTTTAAAGTACACTGAGAACCTCTCCCTCCCGTTGAGTCAGCAAAATCCTGACCACAATGCATTCAAAAGCTAAACATAACAGGCACGTTTTAAATACCTGAAATGTGCATGATGACACAGGCATCATCTTAGCTTCTGTGAGATAAATGTTCATGTTGCACTTTTGGAAGGTTGCAAAAGCCCAAATTAATGGATAACTATGTTAAAATAGCTATAGAATAAGTGTATATAGGAGTCATATCTCAGCAGAGGTGCTTTCAGGACCAATGTCCCTTGAAATGTTGGTGCTAAATATTCTTAAATAAACCCTGCCATACCCGAAGGTTTAGTGAACTAAGATGCATACGAATGCATACAACAAAGGTGACACATGGATGCATCAAGCTAAGATTGGCAGGTCATGCTGCAACAATGTGAAAAAAAGTATCATAACTGGAGGGGTCATTTTATGTCTTTATTACAGACAATAGAGAAATGAGAACAAATGAGGGGGAGAGAGATGCAACAAAGGTCACAGGCCATGCCCAAACCGGGGACGGTCCACGGCCCGCGTCTTTACCCCTAAGTCACACGGACACCTACAAAAGACATGATCCGACACAGGGAGAAAACACAAACTTTTCTGTACATACAGAAACTGCACTGTACATGCAATCTGTGGTCATACTCACAATAACATAAAAATAATGGTTTTATTTTGTCTGTAAATTTAGTTTCACATATGTCTCTCATTTATGCCATCTCTCTATAATAATTAAAATTACAAAAAAGAGGACTTGGAGGTTTGAATCAATAATGCCAACTTACAATAAACACATGCAAAAGCTAATGAAACATCAATAAATCAATGTTTAATGATTGAACAAATAGCCCCTGATCCCAGTATCAATGCATTTTCAGGCTGAGTAATTCATGTGTCATGGCAGCATTGTTTAAAATTGTAAAATTGCGTCGCTGGCTTTAACAACATTATTATTCACTCTTAACAGATGTGAGAGCTCATCAGTGAGTTTGACCCCGAGGGAAAGTCCCTGAGTACTGTGGCGCTAGCACTGCAACCTCTGACTAATAGCTTTGCATAACATTGATCTGACTGGCTGAAGAGCAAACCCAACTCTGCACTCATCCATACAAACACACACACACACACACACATATACACTCCAATGAAGCCTGGTCTGCCATAGCTCAAATGCCAAGAGGCTTTGAACTGGAGAGCCATCTTCTAAATCAGCTGGCCCATGGCTCTACACGGATTCTGTCATTAGGTAACAGCGGCTTTAAAGACAAGGCTAAGTAGCCGCTCGTGGATGGAGAGCCACTGAGCTGCACAGTAGAGGACCAACAACCTCACCTCACTGATTATCTATTACCTAACCAGAAGGAGCCAACCTTCTGCTGATCTGAACCCGTTGGGGAGCTAAGATCTCTGGCAGCCGTTCCCTGGCTGAAGACCATGATCTTATTGCGAAAAGGTCTCTGAAATTTACACATTTTTAACATCTCCACACTAAAATTCACCTGTAAGAGTGCATCATAATGTCTTTCTTTCTGTTACTGTTCTCTTTTTATTGCATGTTTCTACAGACTCCAAATTGCTGAGCAATATGTGATGTTGTGATCTGGTGTGAGAGTGGTTACATATGTTTGATGAAGGTGTCCCCTTTATCAAAAGACACAAAGTGTGGGTCACTGGTCACCAGAGAGGGGCAGGTGGTCCTCAGAGAACAAGGCCGCTGAGTCGACCTGTGACTTCACCACACAGCTCTGTGCGTCATGAGCAGCAGACTAATGCTCAGGCTGACTGGATTAGCCATCTGAATTTATCCTCAACCAGGACACGCTGTTGAGCCTCTTCAGAACCACCAGAGAGACACAGGTGTGGACTGTGTGTGTGTGTGTGTGTGTGTGTGGTCTCTGTTGTGTTGCTGCAAGACAACGGCACCTGCAGGAGGAGAAATCCTCTAAACGTGTCCAGGAACAGCCCAGGGACAAAACCCTTGAGTGGGGCGCTGAGTCACTGAAGACATATGCTTGTCCACTAACAAGTTCACCAGGCTGAGTCTTCACATGGTTCATGTTGAAATAATCAGACACGAGATGTTAGCACAAACACAAGAACAGTGGCAAAACACATTGTAAAGGAAATTATGGCACTTTTCCCACAAGACAGCACAACCGTTTGCATTTTATTTATGATGCAAACACTCAAAGAAAAATACAAGCAAACCTAACCTTACATGCAAGTCCACTTTATTTTTTAACTAAAGTTACAAAAAGATGATTATGTCCTCATTAAACTAGATCCTGCAGTTTCACCACACACTAGGATCCTGAATGGAACATGTTCAGTGTTTGGAGGACAGCCAATTATTACTGTAATACCAGAATTATTTGATTAAATTCTCCATCAATGTAAAACAATGTTTTAATAGAAAAAGAAACAACTTATATGTAATTTAACAAAAGCCAACATCCTTCTAAATTGTTAAAATCATTCAATTTATTCAAATACTGTAAAAACAATTCTGAGGTACTTGTACTTTACTTGAGAACTTCCATTGTAAAAAGGTGCATTGAACAAATGCATTCTCCTTAAAATACAAACAAACACTCCCCTTTGACCTCCTGGTGTGACATGGGCCATACTTCCATGTTTGTTTGTTGATCAGAGAAGAGCATTGTCAACAACATCCAAAATGCTACTGTGTGACGAAGCAGAGATATAATTGCTGTGTCTCCCACGTGAGTCAGCACTTTGCTAAAAGGCCTCCCGCTGTTCGCTGTGGCAGCAGATGGAACTGCTTAACAAAAGCCAACATCCTTATAAATTGTTAAAATCATTCAGTATATTCAAATACTGTAAAAACAATTCTGAGATACTTGTACTTTACTTGAGGACTTCCATTTTAACTACATTTCAGAGGTAATTGTTGTACATTTTTCTCTACTACGTTTATTTTTTCTTTTGATCAGTATATGAAACAGTATGCATTATTAAACTACCATGAATTAAGAACTTAAAACGAGCTTCACCTCCACCAACTGCAACAGTAACTTGCTGTTTAGACATTAATAATGATTAAATAATACAATGATTAATAATATAACACTCACATGGGCCATTTTCCTGCATAATGAGTACTTTTACTTTGCAAATGTTAAGCTGATTTTGCTGATAATATTTGTGTACTTTTTCTTAAGTAAAATTTTGAATGCAGGACTTTTCAAGGTTCAATGTTAATTTAATTGTCATTTACACTACGGTTGCACACCCTTCATGCTACACTCACAGATTTTTTTAAAATTAGAACTGACTAAAAATAAAAACAATATATACAGTTACTTATATACATATAGTATACCTATACACAGAAAGCATGTACAGTATGTGCAATATCAGTGTAATATTTAAAATTACTCATTATTATTTGTAATTGACTATTTTCACACTATTGTATTACTACTTTTACTTAAGTAAAATATCTTAATACTTCTTTCACCAGTGTATAGTGGTTTAATGCTGGGAGAACTGCCAGCTGTTGATCACAGGACTGTGCAGGACTGTAGCCAAAAAGGTAGAAGTGCCCCCACAATGTATACAGAAAAGAAAATTGAAATGAATCTAAAATTACATTTCTAAAATGATAAATGCAACACTGTAAGACATTTCAAATTAGTTTAACTTGGAAAGGCAACTTCACCTGTTTCCTTGACTAGTCTATATAAGTAACTAGTCTAACCGACATAAATTTCTGCATTAATATAACTCACAGTTTCAAGTTAAAGCAAATTAACCACATTTAAACTACTTTCAATTTCA